TAGATTAAACCCAAGTTCATAGTATAAACACACACACACACACACACACACACAAGTATCTTCTACTAGGGAACAGAATCCAGCACAGTAAAAGTCATATACCATGACCAAATGAGATTTATTCTAGGAATGCATGAATGCTTCCACATTAGAAAACCAATCTATGTTATATAACACATCAATAAAACAAAAGAATCACATGATCATCTTTATAGATATAGAAAAGTATTTGATAAAATCTAATACCTTTCTTAATTAAAACTAAAGAAGTCTGGAATAGAAGGAAAAGACCTCAATATGATTCAAGACATATAGGAAAGGCAGTCAACATCACATATGTAGCAGAGGATGAGTTTCTCCGTTTAAATCACAAGAAGACAAGAATGCCCTCTCTGAAGGTCTAATTAACACTGCATTAGAAATTTTATTAAAATAAGAAAAAGAAATAAAATGTATCTAGATTGGAAAAGAAGTAGTAAACATTTCTCCATCCCTACATGACAAGGTCCTAGATAAAGAAATCCCAGATCCTACATGTAGAAAAATCTCACAGTCCACAAGAAAACTTCTAGAACTAACAGAGGAATTTCACAAAGTTGCAAAATACAAGGTCAGAAAATGAAAATAAGATGGATTTCCATATACTAGCTATAGAAACCTGAAAGAAAAGTTGAGGAAACAATTCCATTTACAGTCGCCTCCTAGAGAACCAAATATCAAGGAAAAAAGATGATCAGGATACAAAGGACTTTTAAATAGAAACTACAAAACTATTTGAAAACAGATTAAAGAACACTCAAATCAATGGAAAGTTGTTTCCTTTTTCCAGATTGGGAAGCACACTATTGCTAAAACATCAATTCTACCCAAAATTGTCTATAGAATCAATTCAATCCAAATCAAAATTCCACCAGCCCGCTTTACAGAATAAGACCAATCCTCTATATGGAATGAAAAGAGGCCCAGATTGCAAAGTCAATGTTGAAAGAGAAGAATGCATAGTTATTAATTTAAAACATACTATACAGAGAGTGTCCTGGTGGCATAGTGTATATTATGTTGGACTGCTAGCCAAAAGGTTGATGGTTTCAATCTACCAGCTCCTCTGTGGGAGAAAGGTGAGGCAGTCTGTTCCTGTTGAGTTACACAGCCTCAGAAACCAGATGGAGAGTCACCAGGAATTGGATTAGACTGAGCCATAGTAGGTTCATTAACAGTAGTTAAAACAGTCTGATACTAGTGTAATAACACACACAGACCAATGTAATAGAGTTGAGAGTTCAGATATAAACTGACACATCTATGAGCTACTGATTTTTAACAAGCGTGCTAGTGGAGAAAGAATAATCTCTTCAATAAAGTCCCTCCCGATTAAACAAGCGTGGAAGGAGGAGTGGCATCCACTTCCGTAATAGCTTGCCTCCAGAAACCCTATGAACCTGGAGAGAGGATGAAAGGCACCCAAGCGTCGAGGACTCTCCTTCATAGGGTCGCTATGAGTTGCCTGCGACTCGACGGCACTTAACAACAACAAACAACAAAGTCCCTCCTTCCACCTCGCCCTAAAAATCCATTCCACTGAGTAGATTTTGACTTATGGAGACCCTCAATTGAGTTTCTTAGGCTGTATATCTTTCCCCCACAGAGCAGCTATTGGATTCAATCCACCAACCTTTTGGTTAGCAGTCCAACTGTTGCTCGCTGAAACTGAGGAGGACCTCATGCACTTACTGCAGAGGGTCAAGGACTGCAGCCTTCAATATGGACTGAGGCTCAATGTCAAGAAGACAAAAATTCTCACCACTGGACCAATCGGTACCATCAGGATGGATGGCAAAGAGATTGAGATTGTTCACAGCTTCAGTTTGCTCGGCTCCACGGTCAACACTCTTGGCACCAGTAGCCAGGAAATCAAAAAACGCATTGCGATGGGAAAGTCTGCAGTTAGGGACCTCTCCAAAATACTCAGGAGCAACATTGTCTCTCTGGAGACTAAGGTCCACCTGATACAGGCAATGGTTTTTGCAATCACTTGTTATGCATCAGAGAGTTGGACAATGACTAGGGAGGATAGAAGGAGAATAGACGCCTTTGAGCTGTGGTGCTGGAGAAGAGTATTGAATGTACCATGGACTGCCAAGAAAACAAACAGATTAATCGTAGAGAGGATTAAACTAGGCTGCTCCTTGGAGGCAAGGATTCTGGGGCTTCGCCTGACATACTTTGGACATGTTGTAAGGAGAGACAGGTCTTTAGAGAGGGACATCATGCTGGGTAGAGTAGAGGGACAGCGCAGGAGGGGAAGACCCTCTATGAGGTGGATTGATTCAGTGACTGGGGTAATCGGGATGGGTGTGTCAGAGGCAATGAGATTGGCACAGGATAGAGCACAGTTTAGGGCTGTTGTACATGGAGTCGCTATGAGTCGCAAATGACTCGACGGCACATAACAACAACAACAACAACATTAAAAAAAGGAAACAGCATCCATGCCCCATACTATATATTGTTGTTGTTTTTATGTGCCATGAAGTAGCCTGCAACCAACTCACGGCGACCCTATATACAAGACCTCTGAAGGCTGCCATGGCCTGAGCCAGTCTCACTGACTCCAAAACACTTATCCCCATTGCCCCCGCTACTGTGTCAATCCATCTCTTCCAGGTTCTTCCTCTCCCGGCTGTTCGCACATCATATACAAAAACAAATTCATTACGGACTCAAGACCCAAATGGGCAAGTTAAAACAAAAAATATTTTTAGAAGAAAATACGGGGGCAAAGTTGTCAGGCATAGCATTTAACAATGGGTTTTTCTAGGGAGTTCTGGTGGCCGAGTGGCAAGAAGCTGCATTGCAATCCCAGAGGCGCATGGTTCAAATCCACCAGATGCTCTGCCGGGGAAGGAGGGACAATTCCCTCCTGGACCAGTCAGATCTGATTTGACGGTACACACAAATAATAAAATTAAAAAAAAAAAAAACAAAACACAACAACAACAACAACAACAATGAATGAATGGAAACCCAAAATCTCTGTAAATGTTCATACACACACAAAAGAATAATTTTTTAAAAAAAAATGGGTTTTCTAATATGACAAAAACACAAACAGCAAGACAAAATAAGTAGATGGGGCTTCTTAAAAAAGAAAAACCTTACGTCCACCAAGACATTATAAAAAACTAATAAAATCTACTGACTGGAGTAAAGCTTCAGACACCATATATCTGACAAAATAATAATTATTATATAGATATAAAATGTTGATAATTTAAGAACAGAAATATAATCATAAAATGGGCAAAGGACTTGAACAAACGTTTCACCAAAACGGCCATTCAAATTTAAGATGTATCAGGTCAAACGTCAACGAAGCTCCCCTTACATTGGATTAAGGCTGTGCCCTGAGTAATTTACTGCATCCCACTCTAAATCTGGCTCGTTAACATACTGAATATAACCTAATTCTTATTGTTGTTATTATGCTGTTGTTATGCACTGTCGAGTTGCCTGCAACCCACAGCGACCGTATGTACGGCAACTCTGAAGCCTGCCCTGTGCTGAGCCAGTCTCACCAATTTCAACACACCCACTTCCATTACCCCAGTTACCATGTCAATCCATCTCATCCAGGGTCTTCCTCTCCTGTGTTGTCCCTCCACCCTTGTGAGCATGATATCTTTCTCCAAGGACTGATCCCTCCTGGCCACGTGCCCAAAGTATGTGAGATGGAGTTTCAAAATCCTAGCCTTTAAGAGGAACTTGGTTTCACCCCCTCCAAGACAGACCCATTTGTTTTCTTGGCAGTCCATGATATGTTCAGGATTCTTCTACAGCATCACAATTCAAAGCCATTGATTCTTCTTCTGTCATCCTTAGTCATTGTCCAGCTCTCCGGTGCATTTAAGTAATTGAGAAAAACATGGCCTTATTAACATCACTTAATTCAGCTTCAAGAATGCTCAGAAACCTCACTGCTGTGGAGTCAGTTCCAACACACAGTGCCCCCCCCCCAAAGGCTGTTAACTCTTTACTAGGAAGTAACTGCCCATCATCTTCTCTAGGATCAACTGGTAGATTTGAACTACCGACCTATTGGTTGGCAGTCAAATGTTTTACAACTACCAAATGGAGGATAATCACATCATCTCACAAAACAGACAATCACACAACCCTGGGAATCATTGTCTAGCCATTTAGATATGTGGTTTGTTTTTGTTTTTTTTTTGAGGGGGACACAATTCAGTGAATTATAAACATTAACTCTGTATTTGAGATAGGAATGAACAGTTTGGAAGCCACGTGAAGCTACTCCCCTGGAAGAGATGGACTGACACAGTGACTGTGGTGGTGCGGTCAGGTGTGTCTGAGACGGTGAGGTTGGCACATAACAACAACATCTGTTAACTTCTGTTAAAATTTAATAACCATGGGAATAAAAGGTATTCCTTGTTTATGGGATCTCTGAGTTGTGGCTGACATGCAAAGGTACTTAGTAAATCTCTGTGGCATTGAAAGATAGATGGATAGACTAAAGGACAAAACCTCAGAGGGACAAGAACTAACAAAGAAGTACATTTATAACAACACACTTCCCTTCCCCCAAAGATGGCAGACAATGGGATGGTGAAAAAAAGAGGGAGATTTAACTATCAATTCATGGAGATGTCTAGAGTAAGATGCTTTTGGATTTAGCTGTTTCTCATTGTCACAGATCGATACAGTGACTGTAACAATGGGCTCAAGTACATCAGAGTTGACGAGAATGGCACAGGATAGGGCAAGGTTCAGATCCATTGTTCATGGCGTCACTATGAGCCGTAGTTGACTTGAAGGCATCTAACAACAACTAAGCTAACTGGTGTTAGGTTTAGACCTAGACTCTTTCTTTGAATGATATATCTCATGAGATAGCCCAGGGTTTCATTAACAACAGGGAATGCAATTAGCAAAATGCAAAATATGTAAAACAAAAAGGCACACTGGTAAAAGCAGATTTGTTTATTGTTACAGATTAGTTTGTTTAAAAAAAAAAAAATAAAACATCCAGTGTTTATGTAGAGTCCAGGAAAACCTGTCCCAGTAATGCCAATTTCGAGGTAAAAGGCTGACTTGGGCAGCTGAGAAGTGGGATTTTCTGCTTGACAGGTTTCTTCTCCCTTGCCTGGTCCTGGTTTTCAGGAGAAGAGAATGTTCCTGGCCCTGCTGAGGGTTCCCATGGCCCTGAACTCATAGTCTTTTTCTGAAATCGCGATCTGTTCCGTTTGAGAGAGTAGAATTCCCTCATCAAGTCTTCCACTTCCCACTGCTCTTCCTTCAGCCTCCGGCAACAGTGCAGGGCGGCAGGGTCAATGGGATGAGCTTCTGTGTTAAAGATGTACCCCCCAGCTCCTAGGATGCACTCCCCATAGGGGGTGATCACAGCATCGAAGGTTGACCCATTGTTGTGGATGAAGTTAGTTGGGTCAAAGAGAAGGTAGAGGTATTTCACAGTTTCGGCCAGAAAGAAAGATTCCATGCGGTTGTCAAGTTTGTGGTCTCGCAAGTCTTTGATCTGTCATGTGGGAGAAGAAGCAAGTCAGAAAAACATCCCAGTGCTGTAGCAAAGGTTCTGTGACCCATCACAAGTGCCGGCTCTGCCACTGAGATCTGAAGATCTGTGGGCAAACTTGTCAGAGTCTTAACCTTTGCTCAAATCACTGTCATCCCTCACCTTCATTATCCCAACAGCTGACAACTGACGTCTTGTTTCCATCTTTATTCTAAAGTATATTTGTATTCCAAATCTTGCCCATCACTTCTTACTAAAAATTCTCCATTTAAGACAGACGTACCAAGCCCTATCAGGCCCTATGTGGTACGTCCCTGATGCCACTTGTCATCACCCTCTTCTTCCTTCTTGTAGCTCCAGCAACAACTGGCCTCTCCATTCCCCAAGTTCAGCAGCAAACCTACTCTCACTTCAAGTTCTTGACATTTATTGTTCTTTTAGCTCCAATGTTGTCCTGACCTGCTTAAATAAAACTGACAATCTCCTGTCCCCCTTATCTACCCTTTTGTGACTATAAACAGGGCTCTAATCATCCTTTTTGGTAAAAACACAATATTCCATGGAATACTTGGCTAATGATTTCCCCTGGTGGATATTAAAGTTGTTAGCTTGTTTCTGCTATTATAAACAACAAGGCAGGAGATTAAGAAAGAAAAATGCACACTGAGTTTACATGTCTAGATGCGTAAGATGGCTCACTACAAACATTCACTTTTTGCTCAGAAGTAGTAATATATTTTCTTAAATAAAACCAATCCTCAGTGGATTCATCCCCAAAAATGTGACTCAAATATGGTCTTGATCTATCAAGTATTCTTATTCTCTCACAGAGAGAACAGAGGTCTGTTCCACTATTCATTTTGGAAACTCTCCAAAGGGTTTCATTTTTACAAAAATATCCAACATTCCTAAAGAGGCCCCAATGGGCTTGTACCCTTGGCTTTTCAAAGAATCCAACATACCAGAAACTCAAACATAGCACTGCTTTTCCTTTCCCTACATATAAATATATATGTCCTTTTTTTTTTTTAAATGCATACCCATGCTTTACTTATAAAATATAATCACATAACAGAATCTTTTTTTTCTTCCTCAATTGTGATCTATTTGAAAGCTTATAAAGCAGCATTATAAAATCTTGGAGGAAAAGAATGTTTTATTTCTTAATCCCATACCCTAACAACCTCTGTTGGTTTTTTGAGGAATTTTTCCTAGATTTTGTTCATACACATCTATCTGGCTTTTGCAAATCTGAAAAGATTGTTTTATGTCTGCCAGCTTGGGTTCTGTAAGGATGTGAGAGAAGACTTCCATCCTTGACCCTCTCAATCCATTCTCCACAGAGCTGCCAGAGTGATCTTCCTAAAATATAAACAACGTCCCATCACTCCTCAGCTTTAAGCTCTGCCAGGGCTCTGAGTCCAAGCAGAACAAAATCAGTACTCTTTACCTTGTTTTATAAGAAGCCCTACATAATCTGGTTCCCTGTCCTTCTCCTATTTCCTATTTTTCTCCTTACTCATTCCATTCCTGCCACATTCATCCTTTCTCTCTCTCCCACAAACATGCTGTGTTTTTCCAACTAAAGTATAAGCTTCATGAGAACAAAGACTTAGTCTTTCTTCAATGCTATCACCCTCAGGCAATGCACAATGCTTGCACATGAAGACACTGAATAAACATCTATAAAATTAGGTGGCTTGTTTGAGTCCCTGAGTTGAAATATAGGACTATGAGATTTCTCTTCTTAAATTTCATTTGTAGACTCTTATAAAACTCACCTTCGCAAAGTAGCTTGTTCGGACAGATAAAGGATCTTTCAAACAGAAAGAATGTCAAAGGGCATAGAGACCCTTGGGAACTAATCCTAATGCCACCTTTTCTATATATGTGACCTTAGTTTCTCAGGTCTTCGTTTTCCTTCTACAAAATAAGGGTGTTTTGACTTCTCTAACCTCCCTTCCAGGGCTGATATACCAATAGTTCTGTCTTTCAAGAGGTCTCTTTAGCAGGAGACACTGCTTGGGTTTTAGATTTCTGGACACTTACTGTTGCAAATCCACATTCCACTTTGCTGATTTTTTCAATAGATTCCACAGCATCTCTTCCAAGTTCTAAGAGGGTAGGATCCCCCGTGGCACGGTACAGGTACATGGCGCTTTCAATGAGCTCTGCAAAGTCCAAAGCAGATCATCATCCATTGGTCGAGCACAGAGTTGGGCCTACTCTGGGGCCATGGATAACTCCTCCCTCCCATAACTTGTCAATTGGGCCTCAGCTAGAAGGAACATGGAACAGCTTACCCAAAGGCTGAGTTTTTAGAGCCAATATGCCCAAAGCTTTAAGCTTAGTGGAGACCAGTATTATGGTTGTTTATACTATCCCATGAGATTAGATCTATCAGAGATGATGAGATTGGCTCAGGATAGGGCAGGGTTCGGAGCTAATGTGCATAGATAGGATCACTATGAGTCATAGGAAACTCTATGGCACATAACAATAACAACATACTCTCCCATCCCAAGGGGGAGAAGGGCATTGAGGATCTGGGACAAAGGAGGTGAGAGAAAGACTAGATTCAACTTTTGAAGGTCCATAAACCAAAGACAACCCAGCAAATAAGACTGAAGATTCCTTATATTGCAGAGAGCCCAAAACACAGAAGAAAAGCAGAAGGTCTCTCTGCTTGACTTCCCAGTTCTCTCCTACTTTCCCTCCCTTAGCCTCATGAGTCCCTTGACAGCTGTGAATCTAATTGCTTATATTCTAAAGTACAGATCAGTGCAGGTTGAATGGCGAGTGGAAAAGGACAGGGCTTTCATGGGAAGTTTCCCCTTCTGCTCCCTGTAGCTGTTTAGATCAGTGTACCCAAGGCTAACCATCATGTCTCCTCTTCTTTCCAGTGGGCCCAAGTATGCTTTAATTTCCTGTATGTCTGGCCAGCTCTCCAGAGAATAGTGACAGCTCAAGGTTTAGATCTGGCCTTAGGAGGAAGTAAAAGCCTTCCCTCAGAAGCCTTTAGGCGCCTGTGGTCTAACATTGCTGATCAGAGACACGTAACAGCCTATGTGTAAGGCACTGGTCAGCCTAATTATAGAGTAGTTCCTTGTTTCTCATGCACTATTGTTTCAGGGTAGGAAAGGTGACTGAACTAAGGCATTCCTGGATTCCTGGAGGTGGTGCCTTTCTTTCCACTGAAGCTTTCCTGTAAGTCTGCCCTATATATGGAACAGGTTGCCTCTGCAAGTAATAAGCCTTCTGTCATTGGTGGTAATCAAGTAAAGACTGGACAACCACCTGACAGGGGCATGATAAGGGGATTTCAATTAGAACCCTAATATTCCCTTTAACTTCAAGACTACACAAGTTGAAGCCTTACATTTAGTTCCAATGCAACCAAAGAACACTGATGCCTTCTGAGCTTTTTCTCTCTAAAAAATATGTCAGGAGAACCAGTACATGAGAACAATAGTCTATTAAGAAGTAAAAAGTCTTATTCCCTCTTATGTTGCCACTCCAGGAATCCTATTACCACCCCTTTGCTTAAAGGGAAAGGAAATGGGCAGAGGAAGCCATTAGAAGGCCTATTCCAGAGCTGAAAGGCAATTCATGTAGGAAAGAATAAAAGATCTAAGACAATGGTCAAAAACCTATTCTGGGGTAGGGGATGACTGTGTGCTGACTAAGCTTCCTTCCTCTGCTCCTCTTGCCCTCTCCCTCCTTACAATTTTTAACCTCCTGAGGTGAATCAGCGGTTATAAGAGCTGGAAATGAACTTAAGATAGTAGCAAGTATGCCATCCTCTCCTACTCCGAGTCTTGATTTCTCAGCTGCATAATGGGGAGGTGAATAGACTAGATGATTCCAAAGGTCTATTCAAAAGTTCAAACATTTCATACTAGTGAAACATAATTTGTCTGACCCTTTGAAGACTATACTTATGAATAAAGTTTCCTTATTTTTCAAAAATCTTAATGGCAAGCGTGAGGAGGGAAAAGTCCACCTGGTTCTTCTCCTTCCTACTCACTTCTCTAAGTTTGAAAGACATACGATTTTGTTAAGACATGGGTTGCAGTTTTCACTACTAAGAATCTTTTAAGGTCATTCCAACTCATTATGTATCAATTTCCTTAAAAGAAAGTATGGAAATAAATATTTCCTAGCAGGAAAACCACTAGAGCCAAAGGAAACATAGAGGGAGGAGAGTCATATGACGTGGGACCATTTGTAAAGCAAAGAGCCCTGTTGAGATGTGAGAGTTTGAGATTTAGAGAAAGAGAGATGCTGCTCACCTGGTCGAAGAGGGTAGCCTTCTCGCTTCTCCACCGTGTATCCCTGAGGAATGTTGTAGAATTCTGGGAGCCCTCCAAACTGCTTCCATACAGTGTAATAGTTGAGGAAGGTCCTCATGGCATTATCAATGTCCCCAATGAGGCTCTGTATGGAGAAGTGGTTGTCAGGCAAGCAATCACTAGGCATAAAAATTCACAAACCCCCATCAAACCTCAGAGAAAAGAGAAAGCAAAGTCTTTTGGCTCATGATCAAATACAAAGTGAGCTGTTTACTCACTGAGCAGTGCTGGGTGAACCAGCTAACTTTTTTGTATCTCAGTTTCCTCATCTAAAGATGTAAAATAAAAGAGCTCTTAAACAATGCCATGAGGAACAGATTATATACCAACTGCCTCTCTGATTGTAAGTAATCAATTAATAGGCAGGACTAATAGTTCTCTTTGTGGGCAACATCATGATAGATGGAGAAAGGACTGAAACTGTCACGATTTCATCTTACTTGGATCCCAATCAATACTCTTGGTACCAGTAGTCAGGAGACATAAAGACTCACTGCTTTGGGCAAGTTCGCTGTCAAGGACCTCTCCAAAATACTGTAGAGCAATGATATTAGTTTGAAGACTAAGGTGTGCCTGATTCAGGCTATGGTCTTTTCAATTACTTGCTACACATCTGAGAGCTGGATAATGAATAAGGATAACAGAAGAAGAATTGATGTCTTTGAGTTGTGGTGTTGGAGAAGAGTACTGAACATCCCACAAACTGCCAAAAGAATGAACAAGTATGTCTTGGAAAAGGTGCAGCTGGAGTGCTCCTTGGAGGCAAGGATGGCAAAGCTTCATCTCTCATACTTTGGACAGTTGCTAGGAGAGGCTATTCCTTGGAATGGGATATCATGCTTGGAAGGGTGGAGCGTCGGCCTTCCAGAGGAAGACCTTCAACAAGATAGAATGGCATGGCAACTGAAGCAATGGACTCAAGTATATCAGAGATGGCGAGGATAGACAGGATAGCACAAGATTCAGATCTGTCGTTCATACACACACACACATTTGGATATATATGTAACACACACACATTTGGAAGCAGGAGTGGCATCCACTTCTGAAACGGCTTGCCTCCGGAAACTCTATGAACGTGGAGAAATGACGCAAGTTATACATGTGTTTCAGGTCTTTCATTCACAGTCACTATGAGCCATCTACTACTCAACAGTACTTAACAAAACTATATATATATGCTTAAGTGAAAGTTTATAGAGCAAATTGGTTTTCCATTTCACCATTCATACACATTTTGTTTTAGGACATTAATTACAATATCCACTTTGTAACTGCCATCTTTTCTGTGATTATTTTCATTAATCCTTCTAGTATACCCCTTCTGAACTTCTGAATGTTGTTGTTATGCACTGTTGAGCTGGAACCAACTCGTAACTGACCCTCCAGCGAGTTTTCAGAGGCAGTAAATCACACAGGAGGAAACTGACCATCTTTCTTCCATGGAGCAGCTGGCAGTTCCAAACCACGCGTCTTCAGGCTGGCCGAGCAACTCCTTAGCTCTAAGCCACTAGAGCTCCCTCTGAACCTTAATCCTGGACAAATACCGCACTGGTGATCTGCTCAAATATAGGGCTGATTGGGTTTTTTTGGTGCTTTTTAATTTAATTTTATTGTTTTGTGTGTACCGTCAAATTGGATCTGACTGGTACAGGAGGAGATTGGCCCTCTTCTCCAGCAAAGGATCTGGTGGATTCGAACTGCCTCCCTATGGGATTACAGTTCAGCTTCTTGCCACTAGGCCACGAGAGCTCCAGGGCTGATTGTTTTAAGGAGGGAAAAATCTCTCAGTAACTAACAGCTTTTAAGTAATTCAACCATGTGGCTCATAATTCTAAAAGAAGAATAAGGATGGATTGTACCAAATTATACTCTCACCTCAAACTTCCAATAGATAATTTTCCATCAGTTTAACTTTCAGAGTTTCTTCATGTAAACTTAAGCAAATAAGAATATATTCATCGTCTCACATGGAGAATAGTTTATTAATTCTGTTGCACTTTCCTTCATTCACTCCTCAATATACAGGATCTTATTTATTTTATTCATCTGAATCTAAAAAAAAAAAAAAAAACAAATGCAAAAGATAGACCTTGAGTCTATCTTACCTGGATTTAAAAGCCATCTCAGAAACAGGTTTGAGCACAAATGAACTAGACAAGCTGTGGGAGGTTATCAAGAATATCATCCATGAAGAATGCAAAATGTCATTACAAAGACAGAGCAGGAGAAAAGACTGAGATGGACATCAGAAGAGACTCTGGATATTGCTCTAGAATGCTGAGAAGCCAAAGCAAAGAGAAGAGATCAGGAAAATAAGGAGCTGAACAGAAGATTTCAAAAGGTAGCTCGGTAAGACAAGGCCAAGTATTATAATGAAATGTGCAAAGAGCTGGAGTCGGAAACAAAAGGGACAAACTCACTCAGCACTTCTTAAGCTGAAGGAAATGAAGAATAAATTCAAGCCTCAAGTGGCAATATTTAAGGACACTATGGGCAGAATACTAAATGACCCAGGAAGCATCAAAAGAAGATGCAAGGAATACACAGAGTCACTGTACCAAAAAGAATTGGCTGACAAAGAAGAATTTCATGAAACAGCGTATGATCAAGAGGCAATAGTGATGAAAGTAGAAGTTCAAGCTGCCCTAAAAGAACTGGCAAAAAACAAGGCCCCAAGAATTGATGGAAAACCAACCGACATATTTTAACAAAGCTTGCTCCTCTGGACGTGCTCACCCTGTTATGCCAAAAAATCTGGATGTAACTACCTTGCCAACTGACTGGAAGAGATCCATATTTATTCTCATTCCAAAAAAAGGTGACCCGACAGAATGTGGAAATTATCGAGCAATATTACTAATATCACATACAAACAAAATCCTGCTGAAGATTATGCAAAAATGATAGTGAACTACCAGAAATACAAGTGGGGTTCAGAAGAGGCCATGTCACTAGGGATATCATAGCCAATGTCTGATGGATCTTGGCTGACAGCAGAGAGTACCAAAGGAATGTCTGTGTTTCATTGACTTTCCAGCTGCACCTTTATTGGACTGTAATGAGGGGGCAATGATGGTGGCAGAGCAGCACTGGTTTCCCTCCTTCACCTTCTCAGGTCCACTGTCAGGAATGGGGAGATTAGACAGAAACAGTGGAACAATAACTGTTGCCATGAGTGTTACCACCCAGCCTGGAAAGACACTGTCTAATTAATTCTAAGTGGAATGGCATTTAATGGGGAACCAAAAACACTCAGTCCCAGGTCCTGTCACCTTAAAATTCCCCTCAGAAATCAGTCTGGCAGAATCTCAGATCTATCTAACTCACTCCAAGATTCTCTTCCGCCTTCAACCCATGCCCTAAAATAGAGTACTCAAGCCATAAAAGTACTCTCTTTGACTTACGTATGTCAGAATGACTTGCTCTGTTAATTAAAAATGACCACCCTTTCTGGCCATTCCTACCTGAAGACCAGGCCAGTAAGCTTCCAAGGACTGGAAGACCGGCATGGACACTGTCCCTTTGTACATCTGCACCCAGAGGTACCAGTCGTCGAAACGGGTATAATTCCGAATGGCTCTGTTATATTCTGCAGGGAAGGAGATGAGAGAACGGACATGTCAGTGATTAGGGAGCCCAAAGGGAGGTCTGTCAACAAGTATTGGCTCACACCTTTGTAAGACTGGATGCTTGTCTGGCCTCAAAGCAGAGTAGAATGCAGTGTTGGCAGAGGAAAAGGGCATGGGCTCTGAGGCAAACTTGCAGTCTCAGATTCCACATAAAATTTTACTGCTCACTTATCTACCTTGGAAACAGTGCAGGCCAGGTGTCCTTAGAGACAAGGATGGTGAGGTTTCACCTCACAAACTTCAGACTTGTTATCAGGAGAAATTAGTCCCTGAAGAAAGGCCATACTTGGCAAAGTAGAGGTTCATCAAACAAGAAGACTATCAACAAAATTAACTGAGACAGTGACTGCAACAATAGGCTTACGCATAACAGAGACTGTGAGGATAGTGGAGGACTTGGCAAGGGTTTAAATTTGTTGTACAGTCACTTGAGGTAGAGTTGACTTAACAGCCAGCAGCTGTGACTGTGTATGAGTTTTTTTCCTCCAGAACCTCAGTCTCTTTTATCTGCAATATGGGGAAAGTATTATCACCTATCTCATAAGGCTATTCATTCACTTACTCAACAAATATTCACTAAGGATCTAGGCAAAAACAAAATAAAGCCCAGCACTCATGGAGCTTATAGTCTAGTAAGAACGTGGATCTGTACCTCCTCCCCTAGATGACATTCCCTTACGGGCTGGGACTTTCATTTTGTACCTTGCTGCTCATCAGCACCAGGACAGTACCTAGCACACAGCAGATATGTGATAAATAGTAACTAGATGAATGAAGTACCAAACATGCATGAACCTAAACAAGATAATTTCAAGTAGTGTGTTAAAATTATCCATGCTCAGCAATTGAGACAGTGCTTGGAACACAATGGTATTCAATAAATATTTGCCAAATAAACGAATGTTATTAGGTGTCACTGAGGCAGTTCTGAACTCTTAGTGACCCTATGTACAAGAGAATAAAATCCTATTCAATCCTGAACCATCTCACGATCTCTGCTTTCTTTAAACCCATTGTTACAGTCACTATGTCAGTATATCTTGTTGAGGGTCTTTCTCTTTTTCACTTTGGTCCTCTCTACTCTGCCAGGCCTTCTCCAAGAACTGGTTCCTCCTGATAAAGTGCCCAAAGTATGTGAGATATAGTCTGACTATCTGTACAGCTGGGGAGCTCTGGTGGCCTAGTGGTAAGAAGCTGTGCTGCAATCCCAAAGGCATGCAGTTCAAATCCACCAGCTGCTCCATGGGAGGATAGGCAATCTCCTCCTATGCAATTTAATGCCTCTGAAAACCCAGCTAGGGAGGGTCAGCTATGAGTTGCTTCAATTCACTGGCACATAACAACAACAACAATATAGCATGGTACATCTGGCTATCATGAAAAGGCACAAAGAGGTGCAGTAAGCATTAAGCGGGCAGTGGAAGTGCATTGAACAAAGACTTCTTTAGGTATTCACAATTTATTCTGCAGGTACTTGGGAGCAACTAGAAACTTATAAACCAACCAACCAACCAACCAACCAACCACACATGTCAGCAGGAAAAATCATGGAAGAGTCCCCATGCTCTGCCTTCTTACCTAGGAACATGGCCATGAGATTCTTATCCTGAAGTAGAATGGCTCCTTTCACCAGGTACTCAAAGTAGGAATCCACACCAGCCCCGATGCCTGCATCCTGGGCCACCCACTTGCCAGTGAGTACATCAATGTGGTTGCCAACCTGGGAGACAAAGAGGTGGTCTCATTGGAGGGCCCAAAGCCCAAAAAGACTCTCCCCACTCCCCTGCTGCCTACTGAGCTGACAACTGGCACCCCAGTGTTTCCTGAAAGGATATGCAGGTTAAAGTGGGACCAGGCTGGAGGTGAGTGACTTAGGATTACCACCAGTCTTCCTGCATATCTGCACAGGCAGATGTATATGATGCACATTTATGCTGATTTAATTATACATATTGGGTAGAAACTGAAAGAGAGAAAGAATCTGAGGTGTTGACACATCGCTTGAAATGAGTGTGAAATAGGAGATAAGTATTTGCTGTTCCTGAAATTTGTCTGTTGTTTCCAAAGCTTGTCTCAGATTTCAAAAACATCTCACCACTCTGTGTGTAATTTTTCTATCTAGAGCTGAGAACCACGCTTTATGCATGTCCATCAATGAACGCAGGGAGGACGACTAAGAAACTGGGAAGAGTGATTTGTGTCAAAAGAGAGAAGCATCCTGGGTCCTCAGTCAAAGAAACAGCTATCTGTTCCATGTTGGTCTGGGCTCCCTTGGGGAAAGACCCTCAGCAAAAAAAAGCTCCCTTTCTCATAAAGAGCTGAAACCAATCTTAGAGATTATCTGGTCCAAAGTGTGTTATATTTCCATAGATATATATTATGAAGTGGAAGGGAAGCACTGGGGTCAAATAAGTTTGGAGCAGGTCTAGTTAAAATCATGTTAAATATATTCCTTTTTATAAAAAATAAAATTTTAATGTGATTTTAAATGTTTACAGAAAAGTAGGATTTTCACTCATTCATTGTTGTACATTTTAGCCCCTCTCCCACCATTCCTCCTTACCCAGTTCACTTTTTTTAATATTCATTCGTTGTTGCACAATTTCCTACTTCCTCCCTCCCTGTCCCAGTCCTCTTTGCAATGATATACCTTGTATTTTGTGATGCTGTAGTACATATAATGCCTAATCATGTATTTCTTTTAGATAGTTCTTTCTTTCATCTGTTGTAATGCAGTAGTCATTATCTATCCTCTTTATCCTATTCTCCTCCCAAACCACGCATTGAGTGAAATATCTATGGCCAAAGCACAGATACTGCATTGTACCACTGTTATAAGTACATTTCTTTACTAGAGGATTTCTGAACCATTCATTTGCTCATGTTCACTGTGATGCCTCACACAAAGGATACCAGATGTAGCATTTCCCAAACTTAATTAGTCAGGAATAATTTTTCAGCTGGTAAAACCATTAAATTTCTATCTGATTCTCTGAGTAAATAGGTTTGCAAATATAGGCACTAAAAAATTAAAACCCGACAGGATGACTGTGGAAGGCTTCCCAGTGAGTCAGGGGCATAACACATAAGACCTACTTCCTAGAAATGAGAAAAGCTTCAAGAGTCAGAGTTTAACACAGACCACTTCCCCAAGTGAGAGGATGTCCTCTCAGGCGACATTCTCTTCTGTGCCAAAACTTTCATTGAGGGCTTGATCTGTTTCCGGTGGTCCAAGACCACTCCTGAGGTCACCCTAAGTTTTTCTTGGCTGGATTGCAACTAGTTGCTCAGAACTCTAGAGTCTCACAGGGGCTAAGGTGGCAGACTTGACTCAAACAGGAAGGGCGGCTGCTAACTTACCAGCCCGATATCAGAGCGGCTCTCCCAGAGGCGCATCAAGGCTGCTCTGGCCACGTCTTCAAACACGGGGTCACCGGTGAGGCTGCTCAGGGTGGCAAATTCTACAATGAAGGTTCCAATCCCCGCTGTACAGGTGACTGGGGTCTCCCCAGGGTTCACGCCATGAAGCAGGTTCACCGTCCCATATGGCATGCCAGTAGGAGTCTGAAAGGCTAAAAACACACACAAATTTAGGAAAGAGAAAGGAGGGGGGCATTCAACACAGGCCCAAAACTTGAGGCCTCAGGCAGCACTTCCTTCTTTTTATCTTTGTTCAATCCTGAGACCACAGTAGGTACCTAGACTGAGAGTGGGAGAAATATCCCAACTGGAAGGCCTTTAAAAGCAAACAAAAACCCCCACACCTGTTGCTCTTGAGCAGATTTGGATTCCACCCAACCCTGCATGTGACAGAGCACAACTGTTTAATGACATTGTCATGGCTGAAATCTTTATAGAAGCAGACTGCCAGGCATTCCTTCGGTAGCACCACTGGGTTGGTTTGAGCCACCAACCTTTGGGTTTGCTGTTAGGTGATTGTTGTTGTGTACTGTCAAGTTGGACCTGACCCACAGCTGACCTTGCAGCAAGTTTTTCAGAAGCAGTAAATACAACAAGAGGACACTGCCCATCTTTCTCCCTCTGAGCAGTTAGTGGATTCAAATTACATGCCTTTGAACTGGCAGCATAACTCCTTACCACAAATCCACCTTTTGGGCTAGTAGTCAAGTGGACATTGTTTGCGCTGCCCAAGGACCCTGAGGGCTGTCAGCACCCAGCCAGCTTAGATGTCATCAAATGCTGCTTTACACGAGTCCTGAGTTCGTGCTGTGGTGAGGCAGCATGGAGCAGGTCATATTGTGAGCCATCACATCCCCTGCATCCTCACTTTACTGGAAGGAGTTCTTCTCCTTTTTTTTCTTTCTTCTTCTATTTCCTACTATGCCTTCAGTTGAAAGGCAGGTAACTTAGTGAGAAGTAGGCAAAGAGGAGCTTAGAGCACACTGTGAAAGCTTGCCCTTTAAAAGCTATCCATGTACTTTTTTTTTTATGATATTCATGACATGAACATTTATTTTTAAATATGTTCATTAGCATTTTAATGAGAGAGTATTGATATACGGGATAAAACTGAATAGGTTTATCTATCATCGGTCCATGTACTTTTTAAATGTGATACTGACCACATGAAACACAGCTACAGGCCCTGGATGACTCCATAAGAGCCAGTTTGAGATTTCTGTCTTAACTAAAGGGTTTAGGAGTGAAATATTAAAAAAGGGTGAAAAGGTATATAGGCCAATAAGAATTGATAGTTCAGGTGAGCTCTGGTGGCCTAGTGGCAAGAAGCTGCACTGCAATCTCAGAGGTACACAGTTCAAATCCACCAGCTGCTCTGCTGGAGAAGGAGGAACAATCTCCTCCTGTATCAATCAGATCTGATTTGACGGTACACACAAAAAATAATGAAATAAAATAAAATTAAAAAAAAAAAAGAACTGATAGTCCAATTCAACCCTCAGTTTACAGGTAGGGAAAGTCATACATGTGCAGTGAAGGAGCCTTGGTGATGCAGTGGTTATGCATTCAGCCGCTAACTACAAGATCATCAGTTCAAACTCACCATACTCCACAAGGGGAAGATGTAGCATTATGCTCAGATAAAGATTCCAGTCTTGGAAACACTACGTGCACAGTCCTACTCTGTTCTATAGGGTCACTATTAGCTGGAATCCATTTGATGGCGGTGGAACTGGTTTCATACAAAGTGACTCTGACAAACGTCACACCAAAGCCAGATGGGATAGGAACACCTGCCTCCATCAGCCCAAAGCTCTGCCCACCCCACCCCAGTGTTTTCTCCTTCCAGGCAAGGAACTCGACAACCAGCCAGAAGTAAACATTTCCTCTTCTGGCCAAAAGGTTAAGTCACCCAAGAGCAGTGTGTACATCACAAACAGAAAACAAGATGGTCAAAATGGCCAAGAACTGCAAGGTCTAGCAATTCTGTCTGCTGCTGCGGAGACACTGGCTGGCTGGTTAAGGTGAGAAGCAAGCAGGGAAAAAGGGAGTTGCAACCAAGAAAGACTCAAGTAAACATCTTGGTATTGCCATTGAGTCTGAACTGACTCATAGCTGACCCTCCATCGGGCTTTCAAAGCCATAAATTGCGTGGTGAGAAATGGCCCAACTGTCTCCCTTGGAGCCACTGGAGGACATGAATTTCCAGTTTAAGTGTGGCCTTTGAGTTAGCAGCGCAACTCCCAACAGACTAAAATCAGGCAGTGTTAAACAGGAGAGAAATGGCAAACACTTCTTTGCCCCAAATGACAGAGACACTGGTGGTTGCTTTATACTATATGTTGTACACTTTTCAGTGTATATATTTCTCAGTAATTTTTTTTAAATGACAACACACACATAAAAGAGAAGGAAGAGACCATCCCTCTAGGGATGAATCACACAGCGCATGACGTTTGTAAGGAGACACTCAGGCCATGAGGCCTGCGACCTAAACACAGTTAACTCACTTTCCTCAGCTCTTCCCCGAAGATACAAGTACAGAACCTAGAAGGTCAATTGAGATGGCTGGTGAGAAGCACACCATGACGTGTTTGGGTGTGAACAGCCCTCTGAGCTTCCACCACACCCAGAAGGGAACACAGAGTCCAGTTTATGCTGATGAGGCCAGCGGACTGTCCCAAGAGGCAAACACTGAGTCTTTTGGCCTGTGGCCTGGACACAGCTTAGCCACAAAATAACCCCTCTCGCTTCAACATTGATTGTGGTTTTCCAAGTATCTTCTCCTCTCTGACCTCATTCCAGCTTAACAGCAGCCTGCTGAGGCAGGATCATTTCCATCTGATGGAGAAGAAAACTGAACTGTAGAGAGGAGGATTGGCTTGGCTGCCAAACCAAGTCTAGAACCCAGGACTCCTAACTCTCACTTTGAGATTCTTTTCTGGGCCCTTTTGTTCCCACTGTGTGGGGCTAGAAGGGAACAAAAGGCCTCACTCAAAATAAGACGAGGACCTTCTACCCACAAACCCACCAACCTGGCCTTCAACCGCCACCCCTCTCCCTCTGTAAAATGTAATGAGGGCAGCGTTCTTATCCTGGGCCAGGGTCCCAGCAAGCCCACCAAATGCTTCGAATGTTCATGATTTCATGTTACACCTAGAAGTAGAAAAGCTGTGTGTCTAAGTGAGAAACACCAGGAAAATATCCACACTGCCACACTCGTATAGCAAGAAAAGACTTCATCTCACTCCCATCCTGGGGTCACTCTTACCTGGGAGGAGTTTGCGGGCTGCCTCCTCAGCCATTCTCAGGAGGGGTCCAGAGCAGGGCCACCCAGCCTCCACTTCCACTCCAGCTTTCTTAGACAGCAGGTGTGCAGACAGGAGGCCTCCTACCACTACAGACAAGACCAAAGGCAAGTGTCATCGTCCTAAGAATCAATCCTTCACCTCTGCAAACTGAACCAGCACACTCTGTGGGGGGAGGCTGGCTGGGAAGGAGCTTAAGAGGAGACCCTTAAACCTTCTTAGTGGGTCACAATAGCCATGGGTTTTCTATCGTCTCCAGATTTATAGTGTACCAGTCACTAAGCTGGTATATAACAACCACCACCACACGTGTTATTTCAATCAATCTAGAAATTGTATAAGGTAAGTAACATTGATAGTCCCTCCCCTCTTCTACAAAGAGAGAAGGAGTGTGTGTGTGCGTGTGTGTGTGTGTGTGTGTGAACACGAGCATGCACATACACACATGCACACAAGCATTTCAGATGAAGAAATCTGAGTTCAGAAAGGTAAACTGACTTTGCCCTGAGTTACCTGATAGAGGTAGAGCCAGGTCAGTCTGACTCCAAATCTCATAACTCAAGACTTAGGTGTGTGGAGTTATTACCTTCATTTTATTTTTTTTTTCACTGTCCAACTTTTTTTTATTATTATTATTATTCATTTTAATGAAAATTTACAGAGATTTTGGATTTCCATTCATTCACTGTTACACTTCTCCCTGCCCACCCCTCCCCTCCAGTTCGTTCTTCTCTTTGAAAAGTTAAATTCTTTCATTGTTATACAAGCCCTCCTCCCAAGTCCACTCCACTATGCAGCCTTTGTTCTGGACTCTTGTCATGACAATAATACCTAATTATATATATATTTTAAACAGTTCTTTCTCTCATCTGTTTCAATGCAGTATATATAATTTTACCTTCATTTTATTAAATCATCTATTTTATTACATAATAATAAAAAAAAAGTAGACATTGAGTTGATTCCAGCTCATGGTCCTCTATCCTGCAGAATAAACTGTAGTGTTTTCAAGGCAGTGGCCTTCCAGGAACAATCACCAGGTCTTCCTTACAAGAACTATCTAGGAGAGTTCAAACAGCCAACCTTTAGCTTAGTAGCCAAGGGTTTAACAGTTTGAACCATCCAGAAATAACTAAATGTAAAATGCAGAGAGATTGAAAGGAAAATGTTTTCTGAACAAATATCAGGCTGAAAAGAAAAGGTGATTTAGTCACACTCAGATCAGAAACAAAGGTGTGAGAACAACCTTGACCTTCAGATGACAAACAGGCTAAAATGTTGTGTCACACAGCAGCAAGTACCACACAAGCTCAGGACTGGTTCCCAAGTCTGGATTTCAAATCATGCTGCACGTCTTTGTAAAGTTTTGTTTATCAAATATATGTCAAAACAAAATCCACAGTAGAAAATATAAAGAACAAAATAAGGGAGAAAAGAACACCATAATCTTGCCATCCAGAGGTGACAGCTAGTAAGCCACTGATCTCAATTCACTGCAAAGAATCACTGTTGAACCTTCTTAAGAACGTCCTAAACATTCCCAAGAATCTGTTAAAAGCAAGATGCTTGGAATCAACCCAATTCATAAGTCCTAATTCATAATGGGCAAAGTGGTAAGGATCTGTGCACATAGCTTGAATCCCCCAGCTGCTTCATGGGAGAAGGATGGTAAATCTCTTCCCTTGTGATTACGGCCTCTGAAAATCCGCTGAAGGTCTGCTATGGGTCAGTTCTGACTTGATGGTACACAACAACAGGGGGGAAACCAGCTGTCTGAACTTTTTTTTAATGTCCCAGTGGTTCTGAGAGGCAGCCATATTTAGAAACAAAAGTCTTAGGCTTGCATTGTCCAATATTTTAATTGTTAATTACATATGACTACATAGATTTAAATTCATTAAAATGAAATAAATTTAAAAATCAGCTCCTCATGTACACAAAAAACCAAACATGTCAAACCCCATTGCTACTGCATCGCTTCCAAACCTGAGCAACAGGAAAGAACTGTCCCACAGAGCCTTCAAGGCTGGCCATCTTTACAGGAGAGATCACCATACCTTTCTCCTGAGGCGCAGCTGGTGGGTTTGAATTGCCAGTTTTCTGGTTGGCAAATTGGGTGCTTAACCATGGCACCACCAGGGGTCCTTTGACTAATTACACTAGACCCATTTCAAATACTCAAGAGCTTCGTCAGTGACTACCATATAAAGCAACACAGGTATAAAATATTTCCATCACTTTGCAAAGTTCTGATGGATGGTTCTGCCTAGATAATAAACTCAAAGAAGGCAAGGATATGTCTTTATTGTTCATAGCTATATGCTTAATGTCAAATATATGTTAAATACAGTGAATAAGTGTGGCATATTTCTTTCTACTCTCTTAATTGTTTCCTGCCTGCAGCTTCTGGTGGATCCTGGGATCTCCTCACTCTCTCCCATGAAGAGCTGTCAGTTACAGGTTTTAGTCAAGCACCCTGGTAGTGTTTGCCCTTAAAGCCCTATTTCCCAGTTTCCAGTTTACACAGAAGAAATGTATTCTCTTTTCTTTCAAAGGCCGTAGAAGACAGCCCTCACCTCGGATGTTGGTTTCAAACACTGAAGCGTTCACATCTATATCAAAGTCCACATTGTCCTGGAGCACTTCAACAACTCTTTGGAACTCTGAGACATTTCCCAAAATCTGGAAGAAAAGAGATCTGACAATGAAAGTGCCTCAGGCATGGAAACTGTCTATACCAGGTTTGCAATCTATACTGATGTATCCCTCAATTACTCTACTTGAGACCTCCATTTCTTTTTTTTTTCTTTTATTTTATTATTTTTGTGTGAGTGTACCGTCAAATCAGATCTGACTGGTACTGGAGGAGATTGTCCCTCCTTCCCCGGCAGAGCATCTGGTGGATTCGAACTGTGCGCCTCTGGGATTGTAGTTGCAGCTTCTTGCCACTAGGCCACCAGAGCTTCCCTTGAGACCTCCATTTCTTACCCTAGAACCAGTGACAGAAGAAGAAAACAGAGAGCTACATACAAATCACCCAGAGACCCATATTCAAGACAACAACATTCAAAACCCAATCTCAAGACACTAGTTAATTCTTAGGTTATCAACCCAAGAGCCATTATGTACCCATTTAAATGGGTACAATAGGAAAACTCTCATTGCCATCAAATCAGAACTGACTAACTGCTGACTTTCCAGCAGGTTTTTGAGGCTGTAAATCTCACAGATTATCCTGGGCTTGTAGCACCACTCCTTAAGGACTACACCACTAGAGCTTCCTAAGAAAAACTTTGTTGTTGTTATGTGCCGTCGAGTCGTTTCCGACTCATAGCGACCCTATGCACAACAGCCCTAAACCCCGCTCTATCCTGCGCCAACCGCACTGCCTCTGACACACCCATCCCGATTACCC